ACAGAGGCTGCAAATACCGGACAGTTGGGGCCAATACCGGAGACCTGGCCACCCTATGCATGGCCAGATTCTCAGCTGGGGTACATCAGCAAAGTTCCACTGGATTGGATGGATATATACTGTATCAGTTCACACATGGTGCTGAAATCAGGAATACAAGGATCGACTGGTGTCTGAAATCCCCAAACAAATTGCGTTGTTGCACCTCAGCATTGTATTCTGCCTCAAGTATATCTGACCACATATAGCTGACCACGCCCTACAAATTGTAAGGTACACTATGCATGCATAGGGTCCCAATTATACCCTCACCCAGCATCAATCCAAAATGCCGAATACAGTACCAAAATATTATGATAAGCAGTTACGCAGCATGAACTGGAACTAAAGCATGAGTACACAGATCCCATAACAATCAATTTTTTTTCTTTCAACATATCCCCAACTCAAGTTTCAACGTTAAAGGGAACATCTGAATCACTGCAGAATTTCTCCTTGCCAGTGAACACTGACTTAATATTTGTTTTAGCTCCATGTTACACTGCTGATTGAATAACAGCTTATTTTATCATACTACCAAATAACCCAAGAATGTAAGTCAATTGATAGCACTTGGATTTACATTTACTGACAGCATTTACGGGGGTAGGAGTTAATTGATTGGATTAAGTTTAATTTGGATGATCTCATGGCTGGGGGGGATGTGCCAGATTTTCACTCTCAAACCTCAAGGAGAAATTTTCAAGATTTATAGTTGCAAATAAAGCTATTTTTGTCTAACATTGTTGCACTTTAGCAGTGTTGATATCAATGATTCCAAACACTGGAAAAAAATATGGCAATGGCTCAACATAGATGTGCCAAAATAGCTATATAGGTTTGTACAAAAACACATGCACGCACAAAAAATTTGGCATTAAGCTTTAACATGAAATAACTGTTGGAACATTTAATAGATTAGGTAATGCAGCATTCCTTCCTGTCTCCCAATCATGAGAGAGATTTTTTTTTCAAAGGATCTATGCAAGGCTCTTAAGAACTTTGTGTTTACATTCTGCACTTAAAAGTGATAGTCCAGTAGCCAAAAGTGCTACATTGAAATACAATATGGATCTATTGATGAAAGATGATATTGTATTGGGGGAGGGGGAGAATATATTTAAATCTGGTGAACTCTCCTGTCAAACATTAAGGGAATATCAAGCAATCTGCAACACTCAGGCAAATAACCCTTATAGGAAGACATCTGTTTACAATGGGATTATTTACATGCATGTTGTTTATATGAATAAGGGTGCATCATTGGACTAAAGTTTACAGGACTCGGCTCTAAGGAAACTTTAGATTCCCAGAAGGTGCCCCAAGGTTGCCACAATATTAAAATTAAATGACAAATTTCACATGCATGCAAGTGAATC